TTACAATTATTTACAAATAATCAAAAAGCCTAAAAAAATTTATTTTATCTTAAACGAAGATAAAATTAAAATGAGTAATGATAGGGAGGCAAAAATTTAAGATGAATATTTAAGATAAATGACGTGATATAAATCACATTATTAAATTAATTAATGAATATAATATTATGACCTTTAAACAAATAAAAAGAATAAATCATTAAATAATATAAAATTTACATTTTATTTTATTTTTTAATATTTACTGGTAGAATGGATTAATTTAATAAAAAGTTTGTTTAATTTTTGTTTTAATGAATATAATATTATGACCTTTAAACAAATAAAAAGAATAAATCATTAAATAATATAAAATTTACATTTTATTATTTTAAATGATATAATTTATACCACCTCATTAATCCCAAATTTTAATTTTAAATTTTAATCTCATTTATCATTATCTAATTAAAATTCTACTAGGACATTCAAGAGAAGAAAAGGCTAACAATTGTATCCGGTCTCCTGCCGGGTTGACCGGGCAAAAACCGAGCCACTCCCACAGAAAAAGCAGAAGAAGCAAACATCTACCGCCATTAATTACGTAAATACATGTGATCAAACTAAACGATGAGATCAAACATTACAGACAGATTAATTATAGAATCGGGCTTTTAGGTCTAATAGTTCGACCCCAAGCCTTAAATGCTTGGGTAAGGTAATCGGAACTTCAAACTTTATCACCGTCGTAAACTTCACCAAAAAGCGAGCTAATGACCGCGCACTTTATTTGAAGGGTGGAATGTTCATCTGGTCTAAAAACAATTGTTAACAACTAACTGACACTAACTTTTTAACCGTTGTCCTTATCAAAAAAAAAAAAGAAAAAGAAAGACAGATTAATTATGTTTCCTTATCCATCCAGTTAAAGTATCTTTATTACAAACAAGCAGCATTTCATTTGGTCAGAACTCGTTTGCAATGAGGACTAGGTCTAACTTCTCGAACAAGATGACCCAAGAACTTGGTCCAAAATTAAGGCACAATAGAGTAAGAGCTGCTTGCTCCAACAGAGTTTTTTTTTTTGGTAGTTAGAAGCAGAAAAATCTTATGAACATACAAAACACTATTAGACAGGATGATGGTTCAGATATACAAAAGGAAAGAGGGATGAAACTACAGTGCTCACTATCCTCTTCCAAGTACACATTACATTAATCTCATTCCAAACCCTTGAGACCCACCAAAAAATTTTTTTTTCTAAAGCAAAAGGAGTATACCCTTTTCTCTAGCTAATTGGTCTTCCAGACAAAAATGCTGTTAAGGATCCCTACTTTCAATACCAGCTTCTGCATCAGATAGCCTCTCACGATACTCTTCCAAGTTCCAACAAGTAGTCGCATAGTTCTAAAAGCTGATCGGCTAGGGGGGAATACCTGGGTTGCGCCCATCGTTATACTTGTGAGCATTGAACGCAATCTGCCAAACGTCATGTCTGAAATTATTTCGGTCCTTGTACTCCATCCTCCTCACCTTGTCCCTAATTGTCGATAGATCCATTGGGTGGGCTATAATGTCCAGGTAGTCGGGAGGCTCCTTCTTGGATGCCGGTTTCAGGAATAGATAGGAGACCTCAGTATTATCTCTGAGGGTATCAACAATGCGCTCCAAGACATTTGCCAAACCAACCTGCAGCAAATTCATTTTGAAATATTTATAAACATACTTTCAGATGAACATAATATCATAATTTCAAAAAAAAAAAATTCCTACTTAACCAGCTAAAAATGAAGAATTGCACTAACATAGGAAAGAATATTATAGCTTTCTTATTATTTCTATATTGTTTCTATAATTATAAATCATCTTTCCTTTAAGTTGCCCATTTTTTCCCCAAAACCTCATCTCTCAGGAGCTCACAGAGCAGAATGAGTGCAACTTGTTAAAATTTCAAAAAGAAACCAACAGGTAGTGAAAAAAAAAATGAAAAAAAGAAAAAAGGAACCGCAGCAGGATTGATCTTGTTGGAATCATGGGCTATATTTAAGCAGGGCAAGTCTAACAGAGCCTATAATTCACAATCTGATCTTAATCCACAATCTGTTCTTCCCAGTATATGTTGATGCTAAGTCAATCTTGCTCTACAGGTCTTTTTCCTCAAACAAAAAACTAATAATAATAATAATAAATAAATAAATAAATAAAACTTGCTCTACAGGCATAATCATGCCTGTCAGATGCAAATTGCTTTTCCATCCAAGCATTAGGCAAACGAATCAAGTCTTCAAAGAAGGAGAGAGAAAACAAAGAGAAAGGAATAACACAGATTCAATTCCTTGGCTATACAGCTCTTCAAAATCCTTAACAGTTCTAGTAATTTAACTACTCCTTTGAAATTATTGCACTAAACGGAACATAGAGTTATTAGCCACTATATAATGGTATGAAAATCGCAATATGAAGCCCACTTGTTAACTACAGAACCAACATCATGCTTTTCTTTTGAATAATGAATCAGAAAGATAGAATCTAATGAAAGTTAATACTTGGTATTCATCATTATGAATCAAAAAACTCATTTTTATGAAGAATCCCTTGTCCAATTGGGAGGAT